CTAGATTTTATTTTCCGCTGCAGTTTTCTTCTTGGTGAGGACTAAGTGCCTCTTAAGTAAGTATTTATCGCTTTAGTTAATTTGATGAATCTGTATATTAAATTGTCAGTTTGTGTACCTCGGCTGATTCCTGGACGAGGATTTTATGCACAAATAAGTTCGAAAATTACTAGTGAATTTCCGGGCGTGACATGGCATCACATTACTAGCCATCACACGAAATTAATAGGATGCCACGTCCTCATCCCAGATGGAACAACCACATGCCACGTCCTCATCCCAGATGGAACAACCACATTCATTGATAATGTGGTTTTATGAAACTATACTACTAAAATTTATGTACTTAAGTGACAAGTGTTAAAGTGTGTGTGGTTTTCTGCAACTTGGACTATAAAACATGTAGTTTTGTGAAATTTACTCAAATATATTTAACAATGAATCAAATGATAGGAAAAGAATTAATAATTACTTAAATTTTTTGAATAAGACGAACGGTCAAATGATAGGAAAAGAATTAATAATTACTTAAATTTTTTGAATAAGACGAACGGTCAAACATGTGATAAAAAGTCAACGGCGTCAAACATTTCGAAACGGAGGGAGTAGGATGAAGTGGATTCACCGAATCTCAGCTTTATAGCAGTAAAGGTACCAATTATATAGTAGAAAAGAAGGATATAGTTAAATGGCGTAGGTTTGTTGATGACTTGGTTTCATGTGCTGCTTCTTTTTCTTCTGGTCAAAATATATAGATATAGATATATGTCGAGAAGTATTCATAATTTAAAAAGGCTGCCGTAGGGCTACCTCAAGTTGCACTCTATTATGATGGGACTGTATGCTGTTTGTTATTTTTCCCCCTACAAAGATGCATGATGGGACGGACTTAATTAATTATTATCGACGACAGCCATAATTAAGTGGGCACAAATTAAAGTTGATGCGCGTACGGCGTACCACTGGCTCTGGCTGGAACTAAAGTAAAGTTACGTGTAATTAAGTAGAAGATTGGACAAGAACCTATGAGGTACGTACCGATCGACGTTGTACAAAAGTACTTAATCCCAAGTTGTAATGAAGAATTAGAATTCGCTATCTATACATAGCAAGTGGAGGAACCGATCGATAATATGATCCGCTCCTCCGTTTTTTTAACAAGATAACATCGTTGATCTGACACGACGTTTAATCATTTGTTTTATTATTTAAAAAATATGCAAATGTTATTTATTTTATTGTTATATGTTTCATCATTAAAAAAATTTTGTGTATAATTATACTTTAGCATACTTACTATTTTTTAAAATAAAGATGACCAAACGTTATTTTAACAGACAACTAACAGTGTTATTTATTAAGAAATGAATAGGTATGTATATATAATCAGCGATACATGTGAAGTGGGCGTAGTTAACTGGTTAGGCTTCCTCTAGTATAACCAACCCACCGGATTAATTCCTAGATTTAACACAGCTGCGAGCAGCGATATGTAATATTAGCACGAAGACAAAGATTGGAGCAATGACAAATTAAAAGAACCGTTAATCTATGAGCGATGACTACCCCATATATATCTATATGTATATATATATATATATATATGTATATATATATATATGTATGTATATATATATATGTATATATATATATGTATATATATATGTATGTATATATCTATATGTATATGTATATGTATATATGTATATGTGTGTGTGTTTGTGTGTGTGTATATATATCCTATTTCCTACTACCGGGAGTAGCTACTCCTTTCCCTTAACGGGTTAGTGGTATAAGCAAGGATCCAATAAATCACTAGATTAAACAATTAATTAAATAGTTTATTATTTTAATAAATCACTTAATTAACGGTTGCATGCAAAATAACTTCTAGCATGGAGTTTCTGCCTCTCAAACTAACTATGTTAACTAAATACGGCAGAACATCAAACGGAAGAAAAATCCCCGGCAGAAAATGCATCTCAACAACCAAATGGCTGAACTCAACTGAAAAAAATCAGCGTCTCAAACAGAAAATGACACGACATCAACGGAAAAAAATTCCTCGAATATCAAGTGCATGCAGGACCTCCCTAGCTAATAGGTGATTAGGTACAAACAACATTATGTTCTGCTCATGTAACTGAATCCCATCTTCATATATGAAGCTCCCCGGCAAGAATGTAGGCAGAAGGTTAGATCACCTTCTGCTCATTCCCTATGGAAATTAATAACCATATATAGATGGTGCAGAAGATTTATATAGACGGATAGGGCAGAAGGTTAATATAAAAAAAAAAGGTTCTGTGTGGAAATTAATATAGGCAGAAGGTTGTGGGATCACCTTCTGCTCGTTTTAGTTGGTTGATGATGCTATATAGATGGGCAGTACATGCATGACGAGCAGAAATCTTCTGCTTTAAGAAGGTTAGGGCAAAACACCCACCTTTTTTTTCTTTACTAGAAAAGATGCCCGTGCGTTGCAACGGGTAGAGAAAATTTAATTTGTACATATGTGTTGCAATGGATAAATAATCACATCCTATTGTTTCATTTATTTATGTGCTTATCTGAATCACTTATTACGAAATAAAAGACTATTTATGCGTGCAAATCTTTTATATACATGTTCTTAGCGACTCAAAAGGAAATCTTGTAAAATAAAGTATAATAAAAAAAACCAAAAAGTCGAATTCAAAAGTTAAGTTCTAAAATTTAAAATTTTGACTTCTAGGAATAAGAATAAGGTAGACAATTAGACCTTCAAACACGAGCTCGATTTGTCATCTAGCTTGATCTCAAGTCGGACATGAATTGATGACAGATAGAATTAGCTGGTCTCATCGGTTCGCTGTTGCTGAAGCTGATTCTCAGCAAAAGCCCATCGGTTCAATTATTGGGCTGAATAAGCATCAGCGGTTGGTAGTGAGTCCAATAATTCCCGACTCTTTTCTACGGCTGATATGATGGAAACGCTTATGCCGATAAGCATCAGACTGCTTATGCTGAAAAGCAATAGCATAAGCCAATTGATGGATCTTAGCAACTTCAATTATCCTTTATTTTTAATTGGCATGTTCTTTTCGAAAGTAAAACAATCATGACGGCGCGCAAAGGCGCATGTGGAAAATGGAGTCATGTGCAGACCCAATTAATTCGCGTGCGTATGAGAGGGACACTATACCATAGGAAAAAAGAAAATGATTTGACAAAAACATAAAATTTAAAACGAAACATAAAATTAAAACTGATTCAAATACGAACTACGTACTGAAATTCTGTCGGAAACATTTTCAATTTTTATAATAGTAGATATAATAATTATTATTATTAGTGATAATAATTTTTAAATAATAGTTACTTTAAACATTGAATATATTATCATATCACTCTTTACAAACATTAGCTCTACAATTTTTAAAAACAGAGTTTACACCCATTATATTATATTGTGTACCCATTATTTTAGACTAAATTTAATAAAAATATTTGTATATAGATTTTCACTTAAATCGGTATTGGACCATCATATCTATCTTTTTGAAAAAAAACAAAGCCTTGAAATGCTAAAAAATGTGAGAAAAAACACATATCCCTTGATTTTTCAATTAAATCGATAGATGACCATTGGATTAGACTTGAAAAATCATGTTAATCACTCTTCCTAATCATTCTGGCTAATCAATCTTCCTATCTCTAATGCGTAAGTACGTAGTTTGTATGTAGGTGTTACATGTAAAAAAACGTATGACTGGCAAACCCTCTCACTGAATTAGATTAAAAAGATCTAATCTCACCTGATCTCCATGTACTTCCTCCGTTTCACAATATAAATTATTTTAGCATTTCAGCTAGAACGACTTACACTGTGAAACGGAGCGAAACGAGTATGTACGTGCTGTTACATGTGTGTGCGCGATCGACACCTCCTACCGGCTACCGCAGTCCGCATACTCTTGCCCCGTTTGATTTTCCTCCTTTTTTAAGCCACGAATCGGACTTTTTTTTTTCGCTGTTTCTCTTTTTTTTTTACACCTTTTCGTTGTTTTTCTTTGGCTTTCTTTACGGAGCGATTTTTTTTCGCGTGTTTTTTTTGCCAAAATTACGGACGGCCGAAACATCTGGACATGGGCCCGACGTACGCCACGCGATTTGGAACGCGTGGAAAGAGGAATCGGATGAAGAAAAAAATACGGCACGACGTACACGCTGCGCGGTGAAAAAAGGAAATCGGACGGGTAATGAGTCGGACGACGTACGAAAGTTTATAAGCAAAAACATCTTAAACTTTTATAATAGTTAAAGATAAAGATTAAAGATTAAAGATAAAGATATCTGTTTTTGACGGCAGTACATATTCTACCTATTGATTACTAACATAACCGAGTTTCTGCTGAGTTTAGTTTCTGTCTGTATAGATGTATGGGAATATAATATGTACAGCCGAGTTAGTGGAAGAAAATCTTTTGGTAAGAATTTAATCACATCTGCATAACAGAATTATGCATGCGCGTGCAGCTGGAAAACTAATCTCCCGTTCCTAAATGTATGGATAGGATAACAGAATAGCTAGCTTCTGCTCGTCCAATTCTATTTGAAGGGGAGCAGAACATCAGCTGTTTGGTGACATGCTATATATACGGGCGGCACATGCAATTGTTGATGTTCTGCTCTTTACAAATTGATTTTCTGCTCCTGGCCACGGCAGAAGGTATAAATTAATTAGACGGCCAACAGAGGAAAAAAAATAGCAGAAACTAATCTGCATAACAGAAGTATGCATGCTCATGCAGCAGAAGCTAATCGTTCCTAAAAATCTGAATATGCAACAGAATAGTTTCTGTTCCTTCACAAACAATTCAATCTACTATTAGAGCAAAGGCTCAGCAGAAACAATACAAGCGCATTTTCTGGTCCTCAAAAATCAAGTTCTGCTCATGTAATTGAATCTCATCATCGATATGTTCTGCTCCTCCAAACCTTGAAAATGAGCAGAAACTAGAAAATAGGAAGTATGCTAACCGGGAGCAGAAAGTAATTTTCTAGAGGCAGTATGTTAACCGGGAGCAGAAAGTAATTTGAACATCTTCTTCTCGATTATCGGTTGATTGACGCAAGTGGGGCAGTACATGCACAACGAGCAGAACGCACTAATCCAGGCTTCAAATAGATTTAACTTGAGCAACTAATTAACATGCATCTACCCTTTAATTCACCAACTACACTCCTACAAACCTCATTCATCAAATCCGACGGCCCAAACACATCGAATCCAACAGCTCCGATCGCCCCACGTCTCCCCCCTCCCCTCCGCCCATCGCGCATCGATCCCCTTCCGCAATCGCGGCGCGCCCCTCTACCAATCGCGCTCCTTTTTCGCCGCTCTCCGTCGCGCCCCCTGCTCCATTCGCCGCCCGCCCGCTCCTATCGCCGCTTCCGCCGCTCCGGGCTTCGCCTGTGCCGCTCCCTCGACTGGCGCTTGCGCCGCCCGTCGTCGCGCCATCCCCTACCCGTACAACCGCCGAATCCCTATCGCCGCCCTTCTTCCGCGGCCACGCCATCGCCGCCCGCCAGGCCGATCTCCGTCGCCCACGACCACGCCGCGCGCCAATCGCCCATTGCCACCTCCACGGATCGCCTCTCATCGATCTCCTCCGTGCCACCACCGATCCCGCGTTGACCTCCTCCGCGCCCCCTTCAGTGGCCAGATCTAGATTGGCGGTGAGCCCCAGCCATCAACGATGGCGCCCTTCCCTACTGTTGGAAGCTGTTCCAGCAACCTCCTTGGCCGGCGGCGCGGATCGTCGCCATCACCTCGGCTCGCTGATCTCCTGCGACAACGCGAATCAACCTGGCCATGCATCCTGTTTTCAACACTAACGAATCGAGATATATGCAGGTTGGGACCTTCGCCAATTGGATATTGGTCAACAAGCTGGGTGCTTGGTGTTTATTGATTGTTCTACATATCCCCTGATTTTTAGATGTTATGGCATGTGGCACCAGTTGTCCACTTGCATTTTTCTGTTTAGAAGAATAATAGGAAGGTACACCTACTGGCATATCATGCCATTGATTTTGATCTGCAGTTTAATCATGTTCTTGCCATGTTTGTATTTCGAGGATATTTGTGATGACCAGTGATATTTGAGTCCATTTACATTGTATAGTACCATGTGTCTCTCTATAATATCTTCACAAATCTCCTAGAATTCTGAGCTTAGTAATGATTGGATCAAAGATACACGTAAATGTTTGCAGGATTATATTCAAACACATCTAACATTAGTTTCACAAATTAATAGGGAGCAGGAGCTCGGCCATTCAATTATAGAAGAAAGAAAACACCACAAGTTTATGCATACATAGCTATTACGTAGAGTTTCAGCTTTAAAATTATAATTTGTGCTGCAGTTTATATGTTAGATATCTGACTAAATTATTGCCCTTGCCAAATTCAGTTAGAGAGCGACATGAAATGTGACCTGAACGCTTCGTCGTGGTTCCACAACAACAGCAGCATAGAGGGGCGGCAGCCTGTGATGCTACCTGAATACCCCCCCGGCTTGCTCCATTCTAGGTGAGATCTAGCTAAATATGAAGTATTCAGAAACTTCATAATTTGCCATGAACTAAACTTACTTTATTACAAAGCATGTTATTTGAGCCTGAGCCTCCGAGGTATGATAATTGAAATCAATAATTTGTATATTAAGATTGATGGTTTTAAGTCAATTCTATAGAGGGGAACTTTGAGCACATTAAAGAGCATCTCTGACCTTTAAAAGTGGCTTAAGGGCCTCTACTGATATAAGTAACCTCACTGGACATATGTTGGTAGCAACAAAATAGAATGGTAAGAGCTTGTACTCACCATGCATGGATAAAGCTACTGCACTATCTTGCCATTATTTTTTGACTGCTATTGTATGGACTAAATGGTACACATCAAGGATGCAATTTGTTTAACATGGTGGTCTGAATTTTGTAGGGCGAAGGCACAAACTGTGTTGGCTAGAACAGACTGAATTTGTGAGGATGGCAGTGCAGTTCAATGCCATAATTGTGCCCTTTGGAAGTTCGGAATCATTGGAGGGGAAGACCTGTTGAAAGTATGCCACATGCCCCTATTGCTCAGTTTCTCTGCGCTTGCTAGAAACGCACCCTTTGGCAAGAATCTTGTGCAACAGTGCAAGCATACAGTAATCACCTCAAGCCAACTGCTAATTACGTCCTAATTCTGTCAAACTGTGTGACTGCTAATTTGTTTTTTCAGAATCAGGCTTGTGTAAGAAGAAAGGTAAAAAATTTGAAAACGTAACCTTGGGGTAGTCAAAACAAGGCCTGAACTAAAATTCAAATGAATTGTTCTCTTGAGAACAAATATTTGCGGAGAGATAATATACAAAGATGGTGTTGGCAACTTTTTTGACAAGTTAACAAGCACGATCGTAGCACCTTAAGCTTTGCGGTGATCCTAGAGTCGCCAACCACCTCGATCTAGCAAAAAGCTAAACCTAGATGGGTTTTGATAACTAAACCGGCTAGCGGAACCGATTTCTAGATAACTATCCGTCTCGTGGGCAAAACGGAAGGTTTTCAGGACAAACCTACAAAGAGGTGTCGCACTCTCTTAGCGGCGGCGGACGGTTTACGGCGCAAACCGACAAAGATGGACAAACTAAGAGAAAACTAAAAGCAATATGAAAAGAACGATTCGATTGATTGACAGTAGATTGATTTTTACAATGAACCGGCCTTGTCCCTTATATAGGGGTTGGTCTTGCCTTCTACAGGTCCTCCTCCACGTCCAACTCGGGGTAGAATCCAAAGGAAACCCGAAAGTATGCGTTCCCTCGAACAATGCCGCATATTCGATAAGGACCTTCCCAACTAGGAGACCACTTACCGAACTCCTTGGATCGAGTACCCAAAGGCGAAATTGTCTTCCAAACCAAGTCTCCAACTTGAAACAATTTTGCTTTCACCCTCTTGTTGTACGCCTTGGCCACCCTCTTCTTCTCTTTCTCTATCTCTTCCAATGCCTTCAAGCGCTTGTCGATGACTTCATCAAGATTGTCTCCCATCAACGTCTTGTAATCTTCACTTGACAAATCATCTTGCTTAATATAACGAAGAGAACCAAGATTTACCTCTACCGGTAAAACGGCTTCTTGACCATAAACCAACTCAAAAGGAGTGACTTTAGTGGCACCATGTTTAGATATCCTATGCGCCCACAATGCTTCAGAAAGCACCTCATGCCACCTCTTCGGGTGTTCCTCAATCTTCTTTTTTACTAGCTTTAACAATGTCTTATTACTCGACTCGGCTTGTCCATTAGCCTGAGCGTAGTAAGGAGAAGAACTCAACAATTTAATGCCATAAGATTTGGTAAAACTCTTCACTTCCTTAGACATAAAAGAAGCACCTTGGTCCGTAGTTAATGTTTGCGGAATACCGAATCTATGAATAATATGCTTCAAAATAAAGTCAATTACCTCCGTATGAGTCATATTCTTTAAAGGCACGGCTTCGGCCCACTTGGTGAAGTAATCCGTAGCGACCAGCACGAACCTATGCCCCTTTGATGACGAAGAATAAATTTGACCAATGAAATCTAAAGCCCATCCTCGGAACGGCCATGGTTTGATTATAGGGTTCAACACGGCGGCGGGCGCCAATTGAACATTGCCGAACTGTTGACAAGCCTCACATCCCCTATAATATTTGAAGCAATCATCAATCATCCTCGGCCAATAGAATCCCGCTCTTCTAAGCAACCAATTCATCTTGTGGGCCGATTGATGAGTTCCACAAATTCCTTCATGCACTTCTCCCATAGCTACTTTAGATTGATCCTCATCTAAGCACTTCAACAAGACACCATCTATGTTTCGGCGATACAAATCTTCATCAAGCAATGTATATTTGAATACTTGCCGCCGAATTTTCCGATCAACCTTAAGTGTGGGATCCTTTAGATATTGAATCAAAGGAATTCTCCAATCCTCTTCTGTATCCTGGGCACAAATGCCCGAATTTTTAATTAATTCGGCCTCCAAATCAATTGAAGCGTGCCCCCCAGCATTCTGCCCAAAACCGGTCAGACCGGCCACACAGGGCCGGTCAGACCGCTCGAGGTCGCCGGTCAGACCGGCAGAATGCGGCCGGTCAGACCGCCCCTGGTCACCGGTCAGACCGGCCATGCAACGCCGGTCAGACCGCCTCTGGTCTCCAACTTTGCCAATTTCGCACAAAAATTTAAAATCAAGCACCGGTTCTTCTAATATCAGAAATAATCCTTTTTCACATTATAACCAGATGCTTGCTGTGCCAAGTCATTTGCTCTATAATTATCACACATAGCAATATGTCTAATAGTAAAATTATCAAAATTGGCAATAATATCTAAACATGAATTGAGGTACCTATTTAATGATCCGTCCAAGCACTTGTAGACTCCGGCGTCTTGTTGCACCACCAATTCCGAATCACCAAAGGCCTCCACATATTTACCTCCAACCATCTCCATAACTTGTAAGCCGAACAATAAAGCATTGTATTCGGCTTGATTATTTGTGTAATAATATTCCAAACAAACCGATGCCTCATAACACATGCCATTAGGTGAAAACAAAACTACCCCTATGCCTTGACCTTCTTTGCAAGAAGAACCATCAAAATAAATCTTCCAAGGTATAACTTCAACTAAGCAAACCTCTCCCTCATAAGCAACATCTATATGATGGTCTACTGTAAAATCACATACAATTTGGCCTTTTATAGTTTTCAATGATTCAGAAGCCAAATCATATTCTATCAAAGCATATGCCCACTTGCCAATTCTCCCACTTAGAATTGGCATTTGCAACATGTGTTTAATAACATCGGCTTGACAAATAACTATGCATGTACTAGATAACAAATAATGCCTCAATTTGGTACAAGCATAGTATAAGCATAGATAAAGTCTCTCTATAAAAACATACCTCGTTTCGGCATCCAAAAGACGGCGGCTCAAAAAGGTAATGATATATTCCTTGCCATCTTCCTCTTGCGTCAAAACGGCACCAATGACTTTGTCCTCGGAGGCAATATATAACCGAAAAGGCTTTCCGTCTTTAGGCGCTCGCACAACGGGTGGAGTAGACAAATATCTCTTCAACTCTTCAAACGCCTCTTATTGTTTTGCCCCCCAAGTAAAATCGGCTTCTTTCTTTAAGCGAAGTATAGGAACAAAAGCATCGATTTTACCTGCTAGGTTAGAAATAAACCTCCTCAAATAATTCACCTTACTTAGCAACTTTTCAACTTCTTTCTTGCATGTCGGCGCTTTGAAATCACGAATTTTTTCTATCTTCTTAGGATCAATCTCAACTCCTCTCTCATGTACCATGAATCTTAAGAACTTCCCCACCGACACACCAAAAGCACATTTAAGTGGGTTCATCTTCAAACCATACCGGCGCATCAATTTGTGATGCCTGCTAATGCACCTGATCAATTTGTTGGCACTCTGCCGCCTGGAACCTGAAGATTATATAGTTGTTGTTCATGTCATACTGGCAATGTTTACTCTCCCTATATTACCCCGGTGTTTGCAAACACACATCTATATCGTAAGCCATGTATACTCTTTGCACTTGTCTAATTACATTGCCAGTGTGCCTCATAAACACAGTTGCATGTACACACATATATATTAGAAACACGCGTCTACCGTTCAAAGTAATTCGATCTGGTCCGGTTATATATTATTCTATATAAACTGCTACCTACTACCTGCAATCCGCCACTATCAGTTGTGGTGTTGCATATTCCTTATTCACAACCTTCAATATCGATGCAGTGGTTTTGATTACTTGACACGGAAAACGGAGCAATGGATTAATGTGTGATTAATTGATTATTAGCTCAACTAAACTTTAAAAATGGATTAATATGGTTTTCTAAAGCAACTTTTCTATATAATTTTTTTTGCAAAACACGTACGGTTTAGCAGTTTGAAAAGCGTGCGGACGGTAAACGGGAGAGTGAAGTTGGGAACGTGGACTTAAGAACACAGCTATGTTCATATCAGTCCAGCTGGAACAGTTTACGATCTTGTTTAGATGGGACTAAAACTTTTAAACCTTGTTTAGATAGGACTAAAACTTTTAAGTCCCTATCACATCGGATGTTTGGGCACTAATTATAAATATTAAACGTAGATTATTAATAAAACTCATCCATAATCTTGGACTAATTCGAGAGACGAATCTATTGAGCCTCATTAATCCATGATTAGCCTATGTGATGCTACAGTAAACATTATCTAATTAAGGATTAATTAAACTTAAAAAATTTGTCTCGCAAATTAGCTTTTATTTATGTAATTAGTTTTATAAGTAGTCTATATTTAATACTTTAAATTAGTGTAAATACAGTAAAGTTAAGTCCTGATACAAACACCATCTACTATTTCTCCGTGAAATGAAATCCTGCTACCAATACCACTGTAATTAATCGAATTAACTAAGCATAACTAATTAATCTAATTAACTTCACTAAGCTATGAGCAGGCGGCGCGCCATTGGCGCGCCCCAGCATCTAGTATGTTCAAATGCTGGCGGTTACAGCCTTACAGGTGCACTTCTTTTAAACAAGAGAAAATCCATGAAATGCCATTGACAAGCACTCTAATCCCAGAAATGCCACTGACAAGCGTAACTTCCTCAAAATGCCATTGTACAAGCGTTTTTCTCCCCGAAATGCCATCACAGTCAACTTACCGTTTAGTCCACACCGTTAGAAAATTTTTTTTTACCAGAATGACCAGATTACCCTCGCTCCAAATTTTACTATCCAGAGGCAGTAAAAGAAAAGAAATTGGGGAAAAGAAAAGACAACCCTAAACCTAACCGATGGGGGGCGACGACGGCGGCGATGTGGCGCCCCCAGGCGACGGTGCGGCGGCGGTCGCAGGCGGCGCTCTCAGGCGGCGGCGCGGGGGGTCCCCGGCGGCGGGGGTCCTCCGGCGGGTTGAGCGGCTCTCAGGTGGCGACGCGGCGGCCCCCGGCGACGGCGCGTGGCCCTAAGGCGGCGGCGCGGCGGCCCCTGGCGACGACGCGGGGCTCCCAGGCAGCGGCGCGGTGGCTCCAGGCGACGGCGCAGCGGCCCTCGGCGACGGCGCGGGGCTCCCAGGCGGTGGTGCGGCGTCCCTCGATTGCGATGTGGTGCTCCCAGGCGGCGGCACGGCGGCTCCAGGCAGCGGCGCGTCAGCCCTAGGCTGAAATAATTGATAGCAAAATTTCTAAAATAATTTTGATGCCAAAATTTGTGAATTTAATTTTGAAATAATTTGATTGATAGAAAAATAATACATGTCTGTGAATTTAAATATGCATCAATTCAAAATGATATTGTGTGAGCAAACAATACAAAATAATGTTGTTTGAGCAAAAAGTTTGCCCAGGGGTAAGATTGTCTTTTCATACAACTTAACGGAGAGGAGTTAACAGCAGTATGGCTGTGATGGCATTTCTGGGAGAAAAACGCTTGTACGATGGCATTTTGAGGAAGTTGCGCTTGTCAATGGCATTTCTGGGATTAGAGTGCTTGTCAATGGTATTTCATGGATTTTCTCTTTAAACAAATATAGATAAAAGAATATGTGTTATAGTTAATTGCTATTTTTTACCAGGCAATTAAAAATTATCTTCACCCTTTACGAATCACGAGTATTTTGTGAATCATGGGAGTAAGCCTCTACAACTTTGAGGTAATCGGTCCAATGAGTTCGCTCCTGTACAATGTGCGGGTGTTTTTGTTGCTGGCCACACTTTGCCACAACTACCATTAGGTAAGTTGTGGCAGCCACAAAAGTGTGGTAGACAAATTGTTAGTCACAAAGTGTGGCAAAGTTGGTAAGAAAATTGAGTCTATGACATGTAGGACATATTATTGAAAAAGTATGGCAAGCCACAACTGTGGCAGTGAACCAAACACATGCCTAATAAACTGTGTGTGGCTGTGGCAAAATGTGGCCATGAACCAAATACCCCCTACATGCCAAACAATGGCGACCCATCATCCATCCACGGAGATTAGATACTCCCTCTGTTTCACAATGTAAGTCATTCTAGCATTTCTCACATTCATATTAAAATATGAAACAGAGGAAGTACAACTCAAATTTGTTACTCTTTAAAAAAAAAACACTCAGTTATCTAAAATTCAATTCAATTTTTGAACCCATCCATATGCATGGGCCGGTGTAATGAGCTGGGTAGTAATTGGGCCCAGTCCAATACCCTAACCAAATGCTTCTCTCCGTGATGTGTGTGGGCCCACTAGCCACCGCAGCGCAGCGCTCCCTCCGCGGCGGAGATGGCGGCGGCGGCGGCGGAGGATGCGGCTGTGCCCTCGCCTCCGCCGAGCTTGCTGTCGCTGTGCTTGGAGGCGGTGGCCTCCCACCTCACCGCCGGCGCGGGGGGCGTCGGCCAAGCCGGTGGCCGGTGGGGCCGCGACCATTACGACGGCGGGGAGGGCGGCGGCGACACGATGATTACGCCGGAGGAGGTGGCGGAGGCGCTGCCCTGGGAGCTCCTCCACCGCCTCGCGTCCCTCCTCCCGCCCGCCGCGCTCGAGGCGCTCCACCACGCCGCCCACGATCGGTACCCCACCATGCTCCCCACCTCCTCTTTGTATTCCGCCATGGATGTTCTCTTCCTCCTTCGTGACGACTCTTCTGCACCATCGCCATGTCTTAATCTATCTACTTATTATTACGATTTGTGATGTGCTAATTTTTACGATATGAAGCGACCTAATCATCTTGGGAAGTTTTACCATCCTTAATAAAGGACTGGAGGACTCACGTTTCTCAGTGTAAAATTTGATAAATCTAGATACCTCGGTACCAAAATTTTTAGTGTAAAATTTAGATACATTGAGATATTTTTTAGAGGAAATTTCTCCATCATCTTACATATCTAATTGCCCATGTCAGGTGCTGCTTTTCAGCTGCCACTGCTGCTGTTGGGTTTGCGGGACCTGATGGTGATAGACGTGGGATAAAACGATCAAGGTAAGTAGTTCTGTTTTGAATTCGAGTTGATTGCATGTTCTAATTAAAATAGGCTCAGAATGATCTTGCAGAAGACCAAGAGTACCCGGTTACAAATTTTTTTAGAACCGTAGTTAGGTGTGAGAAATTTCTGTAGTTTCGTCCACAATAAGCAGATTATGTTGAAGTATCTTACATATGTGGTGATGCTTTTAGGTGTGAGGATTTCAACCCTGAATGGCAAGCATTGTTCGGACTTCGTTGGCCCCGTTGTGATAATGCTGGACATGATGGCTTGCTTACTGTGGATTGGCAGCGACAGTATTGGGAAAAGCATCTGCAGGAGTGCGTTATATAAAACTTGCAATTGGTCTTGATGAAATGCTTTTACTCTACGTAATCTGTTGTAAATTGCATTTGTAACATTTGTGTCCTCCCATTTCTTTGACCCTTCCACAGGTGCCTTGACGAAGCTGCTGAGAGTGCCTTGCTTCCTTCTTTTTGTGGCAGTATTGATGAGCTGACTATACCAGGTCAGTATTAAGAGTGTTTCCCAGCATGTCTATAATATTGCTATTCACTGTGCTGGACATTGTTTGATCACTTGGGTTAACTCTCGTAATTCCATATGGACATCCATTCCACTTATTTCAACATGGTTTAACTTTATCAGATATGAAAACAAATGGTTTGTAATTTATTACTCCCTCCGTTTCGTTTTATTTGACACCGTTGACTTTTTAGCACATGTTTGACCGTTCGTCTTATTCAAAAACTTTTGTGAAATATGTAAAACTATATGTATGCATAAAAGTATATTTAACAATCAATCAAATGATAGGAAAATAATTAATAATTATTTAAATTTTTTGAATAAGACGAGCGGTCAAACATGTGATAAAAAGTCAACGGTGTCAAATAAAACGAAACGGAGGGAGTATGTTACAGTGCATTACCCATTTGTTGCAATTGTAATCGTGATTTTCTTTCGTTGATGTTCTGAACAGCTAAAATCGTGAGTTGCATTCTCCACACCAAGGACATACCTCAACAGTATTCAAGATTGTCGTTTCATTGCAGCAGTTTTGGCTGTTACGCGAGGTACCATGATAAATTGATAATATCACTTATGTCACATGCTCACATGCAATTCTTTTTTTTTTTGGGAGGGACGCTCAAATTTAACTCTATTATACATATTTGATTAAATAAGCTGGCATCACTGAAGACTTGGTGAGATTTATGGTGACCTAGTGATGCGATTTTAGGTTTGCCATTATGTAACTAGTAATTTTGTTATCTTTTTTGGACCAGATTGGTTCATGATTTGACCCTTTCTAACTTCAATTTTCTTAACTTTTGTTCTACTTCCATTTTCACTTATTTTCAGGTGTTTGAGATTGCAAAGTGTTCTTTGCACAGCAGAAATTTCTGTAAGTGCTGATGTCATACCCCATATTTCTGTTATACTCCCCTATATTTTGAAATCTATAGATCAAGTTGCATCTGATGTGTCATTTTGGCTGTTGAATGCCCTTTTAATTTTGCAACTGCCTTTTATGGTTCCTTTTTTTCAAATGATGGGTCTCTCCCTTCTTAATACGAAATCTAATCTCAGCATGCTGGCCTAAATAATCCTTTTTAGCGAAATTCAAATCTTTCTAGTTTGACTGCTGAAAATCATTTGTCTTTCAGGATTTGTTGCAAGGTAGCAAGCTGGAAAAGTTGATGTTTGTAAGAATTATATCAGACCTGGAGGTAATCCTATACTGGTGAAACTGCATCTGTCATTGTAACTGTAGCTTCCGGGAATAATTGTGTTAACTCTGATGATTCTGTCTGAATCCTTTCTGAACAGTAATCTTCTGTAAACTTAGTTCCAAAGAAAGTGCACTAGTTCATTTCTCGCGCGTTATAATATACATATTTAAACATAAGAAAATCATAAGATATTTTTCCCTATTTGATGTACTATCCATACTATTAAGGGGTAAATGCCCAAGCATTCTAAATAAGGAGTAACCTGAGAAGTACTACCTCTTTCTGCATGGTCCATCTCTGTTGTTTTATTACCTGATTGCTAGTGATTAGCTCATAAATGTTGAATTTCTTCTCAATTCGTACTGACAGGTTAATGGTGTATGCATGCTTCTGAGCTGCCATGCAGAGACATTGCTTTCTCTTGAATTTATCCATTGCCAGCTTTCTCCAGCTGTCATGGATAAAATTTGTAATAGTGTATTGCAGAAAGGATCAGTAAACCATGGAATCCAGAACTTCAGTATTAAATCGTCACGTATTTGTGAAAGCAATACTCTAAACATCTCTGCTGGCTTATTAGATTTTCTGTCAATGGGAAAGTAAGTCACATGACCTACTATAGTTGGTAGCACTATTAGTAGGTCTTATTTATATTCTGATTCAACAGATAGAAGAAAACATAACTTGATCTTGCTGAATTTATGGATTATGTACATGAGTTGAATAGTGTAGTTCATTGATAACTGATTATTGAAACACTGTTATATCCTTGTTATTGTTCAGGTCATTACAATGGCTATCACTTAACGATACTAAGATGCAGCCATTATTTGCTAAAATAATTGTCCATACTCTTCTTGGATCATCAAGTGGCATACGAACTCTTGAGATATCAGAAAACAATGTGGGTTCACAGGATAACAATCTTTTTTTTCATTTGTCCTTTGTTTTGATTGTACTATGGAACTAATTAATCTCTTTTAGATTGCAGGCTGGTTAAAGACAATGGATAAAAGATTTGCATGCTTTTCATCAGCACTGGAGTCAAATATTTCTTTGAACTCCTTGACCCTTCTTAACCTGAGGTATTACTCTGTTATTTTGCACCGCATTATATTGAAAATTATTTTTACTTACTGGTCTGATTGAGTATTTGATCATTAATCTTTACCATACCAGGGGTAACAATTTGAACAAGGGTGATATTGAAGATCTATGCAAAATCCTAGTTAAGATGCCTAACTTGAGAGATTTAGATATAAGTGACAATCCGATCATGGACGAAGGAATCAGGTATTCATAACTCTGAACCCAAAATCACTATAGACTAAGTGATGTAGATCATAGAATACTATTTTCTGTCTATATTTTTTAGAGATGCATATATTGTGAGTGCATACTATATGTTTTAGATCTATGATAGAACAAAATTGTCTTTTGTAGTCTTACACGTTGACTAAGCTTGTTAAAAAAATTGCAGATTGCTTATTTGTTTTATTTCACGGACCCTTCGCAAGGAAAAATCACTTTCAAGGTTAAGAGCAGAGAACTGTGACTTGACCAATATTGGTGTGACTGAACTTCTTGAATGCCTTTCATCTGTGAGTGAACCACTTAATCTGTTGTCTATAGCGGATAATCATCTGGGCAGGTGAGTCACTTTTTTCTCATTTTCGTAGTGGTCACTGTTCAATTATAATGTATTAGCAGTTCTGTTGCAGTTGCATTGGCGAAATTTTTGGGTTCAGGTGTAAGGGAGCTAAATATTGAAGATATTGGCTTTGGGCCACTAGGCTTCCAAATCCTTGAGGAAGCATTACCAGCGGATGTAGCCCTTTCCCATATAAATGTCAGGTAGGAGAAAACCATAGTGGGTGTGAAAGTGGTACTTGTGTCATTGTGGCATTTGCCTTACATACTTCATGTCTATTTTGCAGTAAGAATCGTGGTGGGATTAGAGCCGCACGATTTGTTTCCCGATTAATAAAACAAGCACCAGGCCTTGTGTCAGTCAATGCAGGGTCTAACCTCTTGCCTCCTGAATCTATGGAAGTCATCTGTGATGTCTTGAAGCAGAAAAATACATGTAAGAATTGGAAACACTACTTTGGGTTTACTGGTTTAGATCGAAATGGACATAGACTAATTAGAGATATAATTTGATAACCCATGGAAATCTCGTTTTAGGTAACCTGGAGCGGTTGGATCTGATGGGCAACATGCATTTGTCAGATGCTGCCTTTCCTGCAGCACTTGAATTCAGGAAGCACGGAAAGCAAATCCTGATTGTTCCTTCACAGCCAGGTGCCTGTGCTCCATATGATGACGACCCATAAGCAAGACCTGTTATATTGATAATCATGTAACGTGCTTCGGTATCTGAAGCGGGACTCGACAATGAAGCATCCGCATGCTGGTTTTGTGGCGGTATGGCTCATACCATGGCTTGTGGCATGCCTTCCTGCTGGGAATGGGTTAATGTGCTGGATCGAGATGGAACCAATTGTTGGATCAGTTTGCTTGCCAGGTATTACTCCCTGGCCTATTTCGGCCTGGGGATATTGCTGCGTCGCCAGCATCACCTGCATCAATCAGTGTGGTGGCATCTATGTTGGAGATGGGACAACGATGATTGACTTGTGAGTGTCATGATTGATGGAAGAATGTTGTATCATCTTAGTGGGTATGGGGCAGTGTTATGTTTTGATCCAGGAAAGGGAAATGATTGAGTTCATACTTCACACCCCTCCTTGGAAGGTGAGTTTTTGTAAGTTGGATCAGTGTACTATATCTAATATCCCATATCATGTTGAGATCCTATTGGATATTATACGTGTTTCGTATGTGTTGATACATTATTTAGATTGAGATGACCTACTTTTAGGCTCTGGAGAAGACATATCTTGAATAGATTTGTCTTGCATGCCGTCCTTAGGACTGTTCGATGCCCTTGAACACATTTTCTAACATTTATACATTCATTGTCAACTACCGCAATTATTTTCTCCCATCATTGAAAGCAATGAAAAAAGTTTCGGTGCATTTGATTCTAAAACAACAAATTATTTTTTGCCCATTTTACCTTGATTGCTTCGAACTAGTTTACGTTTATTGGCATTTGTCTTTATTATTTGTTTCTTATATAAGTTGTATTTTAATTACTCGAAAAACCGAAGGAAAAAAACTGAACAACTTTAATTGACTAGCCCATTACTTGACAAAGATACGAATTATATAAGTTGTATTTTAATTACCAAAAAACCGAAGGAAAAAAACTGAACAACTTTAATTGACTAGCTCATAACTCGACAAAGATACGAAGGGCTTGTTTGGCCTGTTTGGCAAGGATGAGTCTACCGCTCGGGCACCCGTTTGGGCTGGAGAAAAATCGGGCGCTGACGTCGCGTCCGATTTACGTGCAAAACTACTTTAAACTGATTTTTCTCTTAAATTACTTATCCAAATCATGATCCGATTGCACCATTAAATTCGTTGCAATTAAATCTTCAAAACAAGATCACAAATGGATATATTCCGACGAATTTTTTTAGCTTATTATTGAATTATTTTTAAATGTTGCACGATGTTCTACCAGGTATATCGGAATTGTTTCACTAAGTAGATCGAAAATGTTTCACTCGTTTAAATCGGGTGTTGTTTCACCTTATATAAAAACAATGTTTCAGCAAATAGCGAAAGAATGTTTCAGTTCACTGCAACATTTGATCCATACATAGGGTGCCATCGTTTGGCATATTGGTGGAATAAGCCAAATGGTATATTTGCAAACGAAAAGTAATTTGTGAATAAAATTTTTATATATGTGTCCTTAGTGATCTAAAAGCAAAGGCTGAAAAATAAACTTCGATGAAAAAACCCCAAAATCAGCTCCAAATTTAACATTGAAAATTCAAATTTTGGCTGATAAGCATATGAATATGCCAAATGATGGGGACCATAGTGAAACATTATAAGTACACTTGGTGAAACATTTTTCGGTGGAACAAAGAATAAACCGAATTCCCTTAATAAAGGGTTTTCAAAATATGTGGGTTTTTTTGTTGCAATGGAGTATTTCAATTCACTGCAACATTAGATCTATACATAGTGAAACATTGTGAGTACACTGGGTGAAACATTTTTTGTGGAAGAAAAAATAAACCAAATTCCCTTAATATAGGGTTTCTAAAATATGTGGGTGATTTGTTGCAACGACGCGTTCCATAATATTAAAATCCACTGCAATATTTGATACGTACATAGTGAAACATCACAAGTACACTACCTGAAACATCGTAAAACTACTGGTTGAAACATCAAAAGAACCATATGCAATATTCTAAAAAAAATCAATAAAAAAGCAAAAATATTTTTTTGTCGAAATATAATCATGTGTGGCCTTGTTGTAAAGATTTAATTGTAACGAATTTAGTTGTGCAATCAGATCGTAGATTAGATAAATAGTTTACGAGAAAAAATCTTTTAAAGAAATGAGAGATGTGAGTATTTGCTTTGTCTAACAGCAACGTCACAGTCTGATGGATAGCCGTCCGATCCGCGCGGCTCGATCGCACGGCGCGCGTGGCGACCGATTTTTCAGCGCAGGATCGGACGCGCGGTGCTGAGCATTTTCGGGACTAACTTCTCAATCTAACTCCAGAAGCAGAGTTTGGACTGTAGTTGAGGAGCGGTCCGAACTTCACTCTACCTCTCTAGTTTTCTTTTTTATCACTCTAGCCCACTCCACTCCATTTTCGGGTGGAGCTAAAACCATTTAGATGAGCTTAAGTTGGAGATGGAGCCTTGTCGAACAGGTCCGTACTATGAGATAAACTGGTGGACCCATTGCCTGTCAAACAGGTCTTCACTATGGGACAAACTGGTGGATCCATTGCTCGCAACCCCAAACGGTCACATGGCTCATCGGCCAAACTATAATAGAATTTCCTATTATTTTAGAGCTTGAGAATTTGTTTTTATATAAAAATTCACTCCTATTACTATAGTTAGTATAGGTTTGTCTAGGCTCTATAAGAAATTCAGGAGTATGGAAAAAACACAAGCCTCTCCCACTCTTCCCCCACAACAGCAAAAGGCACCACCATTCCCTCCTCACCACACACACCCCAATCTCCCCCAACGGCAAAATCCATCACCAACCATTTCTCCTCTACCATTCCCACTATTATCATCGATTGATACATAGAGCATGCATAAGGGAGATAGATATATGAGATATCTGTACATGTTACTTTGCATGTAATTTTTTAAAAAATTGATTAATAGGGAATTGATATATATATATATATATATATATATATATATGAGCGGGAGCAATATGGATTCGACGGAGCTGAGGAAGGTGTTCAAGATGTTCGACAAGAACGGCGACGGGAGGATCACCAAGAAGGAGCTGGGCGAGTCGTTCAAGAACTTCGGCATCTTCATCCCCGACGACGAGCTCGACGCCACCATGGACAAGATCGACGCCAACGGCGACGGCTGCGTCGACGTCGAGGAGTTCGGCCTCCTCTACCGCTCCATCCTCGGCGACGACGCCGCCGGCCGAGCCCCCAGGACGGCGGCGGCGGCCATCGGCGGCGAGGGCGGCGCCCCCGACGACGAGGACGAGGGGATGCGGGAGGCGTTCAACGTGTTCGACCAGAACGGCGACGGATTCATCACCGTCGACGAGCTCCGGTCCGTGCTGTCCAGCCTCGGGCTCAAGCATGGCCGCACCGCCGACGACTGCCGCCGGATGATCAGCATGGTGGACGCCGACGGCGACGGCCGCGTCGACTTCAAGGAGTTCAAGCAGATGATGCGCGGCGGCGGGTTCGCCGCGCTCGGTGGCTAGCCTCTGGCTTGGCCTAATCTTTGTCCTAATCTTGTTGCACTTGCACGCATGGCTTAATTAACCTGCTTGTGGTATTTTATGCACCGCTCGGTTTGTAGATAATTTGACATGATTAGCAGTTAATTAATAGGCCGGTTTGGTTATGCATGGATGATTTGATAATTAACTTGTGTTGATTTCCTTTTGTTGGTTGGGTTAATTATGTTGTCATTTTTTACAGTGTAATCATGTTTACTCCCTTCATTTCAGATTATACTTTGCTTTAATTTTAGTCAAAGTCAAACTACTCTAAATTTGATTAAGTTTATAAACAAATATAATAATATTTACAACACCAAATTAAATTCATTAAACCTATAATTGAATATATTTTCGTAATAAATTTATGTTGGGCTGGAAATGTTATCACTTTTCTCTACAAACTTGAGTAAACTTAGAGCAGTTTGACTTTAATCAAATCCAAAACGACTTATAAATCTGATGAAGTAATTTGTAGCCAGAAAGAAACTTTTGTTTGTTTGGTGATTGTCTCGTCGGTTGTAGAATTCATCTTGTTTGTTTACTAATTTCCTATTGCGATGCTGTGTCGACGTCTGTTGAACGTTATGTTCTCTAGCTACCATTTTTGGGTGATAGAGAAGACATATATTTCTGGTAGAACTAGAAAATACACATGTCCATAGCTATTTAATATATGTTATTCACTTCATTCAAACAAATATTAAACTGGAGTATTATATAGTATTAGAAAATATAAAAAAATAATTTATAAAACGTGCAAAAGTAATGGTGGCGGGCTAGCTAGTGGATACATGTTTTGGGTATCTACCTCTGTCCTCTGCGTGGTGCTTACTTGCCCTGGACTCTTTGAAATATGTAATAACCAAGTTGTTTCAATAGGTTTGATAAGCTAATGACTCCAGTGCTCAATACTAATATAACAAGTTGGGCATCTTCGCCTTGAAGTCTATTTAATGTTTATCAAACTTTTTTTTCTCTCTACCTGCAGGTGCATGCATGCCCATATGAAAACTCTTTTGAAAGCTAAATTTCTTCTTAAAACGAAGATTTTTATGTGATTGGTTTTTTTTTTTTGCTCAATTAAGTTCATGTTTTTACTGTGTATGGAAAAGCAAACGCAAGCTAAGTTTTCCACTCCTACCTAATTGCGTCATGTTTACAGCACATCCCAAACTAAAAGTGAAATAATTTGGCATGATGGGATTGTTTGGATTAAAGCCAATTTTTGCCATATCAAATTTTTGATAACATCAATAGTACAAATATTTGCTTTGATACCAATATGTGGCCATACCAGTACGAAGTCTGTACCATCAAATTTGGTAGAGTAAAAATTAGCTCCAATAAACAAGCTTAATCATTATCTAAAAATAAACAAGCTTAATATATCTTCCCAGTACGCAGGCAGCTAGTCTTTTCTGAACTTTGACAAAGTGTAGACTGATCATATGTTTCAACATGTATACATGGCGCATTGCAAACATTTCAGATACTGATTGAAAAGCAAACTAATTCAGTAACAAAATCAATCTTTAATTAATCCAGATCTTTATTATTGCTGCGTGCAACAAACTGAGACACTGACAGAAGGAGTGCAAATTCAGATCAAGCACTCCAGCTAAAAAGGGATATCCATCGTCACAGTACATGCAAACGAGGATTTTTCCCAAGTTTATTATAAACCAATTGTCGCAGCAAATTAAGACACCATGAGCTCAAACACGGGAAGTTAGAGCGGATGCACGTAGACGCCAACTGCGTCGAGGTACTTCCCGCCGCGCCCAAAGAAACCTACAACACTGCTGTTGTTCTGCACGGGGATATGAAAGGGGTTCCGTTCTGCTTCCCAAATGGCCCATATGTTTTTACATTTGTGACAAATTTAATAAATGTTATGACATTGGATCCGTAGTATGTGCCAAATGTTCCGGAAACTTCCTTCAGAAATTCTGAACTGGACAATTCGATCTACACGAAAGAAAGATAACTATTAGGTAAATTTTCAAACACATACATGCACGCACACATTATCTGTTTAGTAATTTACTACTGCATTGATTAAACAAGAACGATATTGAATATATGGATAAACACATATATAACATAATCACTAACCGTGTTGAGATTCCCACCAGGACCGCCCCATGGGCCAGCCACGCGCTTCTGACCAGCTTGATCAAAGTAGCTAAATGAGATTGAATCAACAACCTCGCCACTGCGTATTGTGATGGATTCTAGACGCTTTGGAGTCTCTGTGATATCTTGAGGTGTCCCTCCATTTCCACCCCATGGCCCAACCTTGGTGGGAAGGCACTGCATTCACACAAGTGATTGAGCACTCTTTTTCTAAGAAAATGGCATATTAATTAATTTTGCATTCCTTGTATTTCATTCGTATCACCTTTGTGCCTTTCAGACTGGGGCAAAACCCATGGATTGTAAGTTCAATGATGTTACCCTCGGATCTTCGCTCATGCACCTTCTTGTAGATGACACCAGATGCCATAATGAACTCCCCTGTTCCCCCAACAATAGCCCACTCACCACATTCAACAGGTACTCCCATCACCTGGAGGGTGGATCCCTTAAGCCTGTTTCAATGTTCACGGCGCCATTAGCGGGTCATAAGATATAAGCTATTTATATAAACATTATATCATTGGTATATTCTGAAGTTATATACTACCTCCGTTTCAGGTTATAAGACTTTCTAGCATCATCCGTACATGCATACAATTGTCTAGAAGGAAGTATGAGTATATACCTTTCATTCTCAAATACCAAGCTGAAGGAATTATGGCGACTAAGTCGCCAGCATAGATATGCAGGCCATGTGCATGGGCAACAACCTTGGCATCACTACCAAGTCCATCGTACACCGCCCAATTGTTGACAGCCGTCATTCCCAGCCCGGTAGAACCATTATTGTTTATGATCGTCGACTGGTTCGGCTTCGGGCCGCCATAGGTGTGGTGAAGGTAGAGGTTGGAGAAGTTGAATTCTTTCCCCTCCATGAGCGCGCTGCAGGGGACAATGGAGCAGTTGATGCCGGCCATGGTGGTGAGAGAGAGAGAGAGCTGGGGATCGAGCTTTGGATGTGATGTGGTTGTGAGTGATGAATTGTGATGATCTTAGCTCATTGTGAGATGGGGTATTTATAGGAGATTTCTAGAGCGCAGTCTTGTGCATGTGCTAGATATTCAGCCGCGTGCATCACGACTACATGTACCTTGCAAACTAAATTAAGAGGATGAATGGTAATTAATTTGATTGGTCAAACATGGAAGCTAGGTTATATTATACTATCTTCTTCCCAAATTAGTAGTCGCTTTGATTTTTTCTTATAACATTTGATCATTCATCTTATTTGAAAAATTAGTGCAAATATAAAAAGGGATAACTCATACTTAAAGTACTTTTGATAATAAAGCAAATCACAAACAAAACAAATAATAATTTCATAATTTTTTAAATAAGACGAATGATCAAAAGTTATAAAAAAAAACTCAGAGCGACAAGTATTTTGGGATGGAGGTAATATGCACTAAAGAAATGACAGATTACTAGGCTAATGTCGTTCCTTCAAGAGTTGATTTGCTTTGATGTTGACTTTTTAAAGGGTGCTTAGCTACACACCACGTCTCTGTTTTGGAATTTTTCAGGCTAATTCGGTGTGTCTAAAACTAATTAAATGGTATACCTACGGGTTCATCTTATGTTTATTTGCAATACAAATCTTAACTTTTATATATAACACACACATTAAATCCTTAAAGCACACAGAATTGATAGATGAAAACCTCGATCAAAGTGTTCCACAAATTGGCCAGGGCACAGTAGTTAATTAGACAAAGTACAGTTTTCAACGGTAGTGTTGCATGTGGTAGAGCCTCGATCTGTATCACATTATCGACATATTTACAGTAGCTGCGGTACTAATAGTTCTAAGAATCCCGTGTTGCACATGGTTAATTCAAATAAAAAATTTGCACACATGTTGCTTCCCACTGTCAATTAGAATACCATGAGATAAGCAAATCACACATCGAGATTTACATCTGGATAATTTCAAGGGGAGGATAGTACTATAGTATCTCATGGTGGTTAATTAGTCAACTAATTACTCTCTAGTATCGTAGCGTAGATCGCGTGTTACCATGTTTTGGTATATATATCATGAATCCCCCTAAATTGGATATTACATATTAAAGCATGTAATGTTATACTTTGCAATAGGAAGTATTGTCACAAGAGTTGTCTTATAGAAACTTTTTAAAATTTTAATGTGAAAGTTTTCTATTTAATTTGTTGGTTAAAGTTTTCCTGTGGAAATTTATATCTCCATGAGAATTTTTTGGGTCATGAAAGCTTTTAATCTCTAGATACAAGATTTTGGTATCGATATAAAAGTTTTCAATATATAAATTTCTTTTATAGTTGAAAGTTTTTTATACAAAGAACTCCCAAAAATATGTGGTGCAATTTTTAAAAGTTTTGATGCACAAATTTTGTTTATAGAATTAGAAATGTCGAAGGTGCCTTCCTAGTGGGTGGGCGCACCTCATGGGTTTAAGCTGAGCACATGCATGGGTGTGCATTAGACACTCTTATCCATATCTGTAGTTATATATATATATATATATATATATATGCTTATGATGCACATGCATGTTAAATGTCAATCTATATATACTACTGACGGAGCTCGTGGCCCCTCACCGGCCGGGAGACCGCACAGGCCCCCCTTTGCCGGTTCGGCCGGGGGCTCAGGGTAAAATCCCAAGCTCTCTCTGTATGTGGAAAGATCGCGAACCAGGAAGAAACGCGAGACGCAGGAGACGTATACAGGTTCGGGCCGCTGGGAAGCGTAATACCCTACTCCTGTGTCTTGGTGGATCTGTGTATGAAAAAAGTTACAAAGTATCAACCAGCCCTTCCCAGCTTCAAAAGTCCTAGATCTCCAGCTCTCAAGCCCCCGCTCTAAGTGGGCTAGGTCCTCCTTTTATCTCTCCAGGGGATACCACATGCACCTCCCTCCTTTTTTAAACTGGACTTTTCTTCTCTTCATAAATGGACGGAGATTTGCACGGTTGTCCTCCGAACATCCTTCTGACGGGACGGCACACACCTAACTCCACTTCTGCCGAAGACAGGCGCGTCGTGGGAACGTGGCTGTCTGCCGATGACATGACCAGTGTCAGACCGGTCATTCTTGTCTACCACGTGTCAACTTAACAACGTGCATGTTTGCCCTTCTTCATGTAGCATCTTGCCTCTAATGGTTAGGATGAAGCCTGGTATAAATCTAACCAGGGCTAGCGTGCCATCTCTAAGAGATTACACGCTAGCTCCGGCTTGAGACGAGTGCCTAGAGGCTTTCGTCTTGACGGGATGGGGCAAGGCGTGTGTCAGACCGCCAGTCGCCACCTAACCCGTGATCTGACCGGTCTGTGACCGTCACAGACCGGATAAAGGAACGCGCTGCACTGCGCTGCATGCAGCGTGACACGTTCGACCAGACCGCAATAAATGTGGTTAGGTGAGGCTCACCGTGTTCACCCAACCCATTCATGTGGCGCTAACTCCACGAGGGGTCGGGGCGCCTCGGCCCTCGGGGCCAGGGCAGGAGCCACCCGACCCCCCCCTCGGGGAAATCAGGAGGAGGGCGGACACCTCACCCTCGGGCCCGACGTCCCCGAAGGTGCCAGGCCACGTGGGCGATTGTGTCTGCCTCAAGCCTCTGGTCACGATACTCCCGGTCCCATATCACCGACAGTAGCCCCCGGCGTTATGCCAGGGCGATCGCCCTTCTCAAGGGAAGCGGTCGGGCGTGACGCCACTCCTAAAGCCTGGTGACAGGTGGGACCGGTCTCCATGGTTGGGCAGAGACCCAACGGTCTCAAACCATGCACATCGGTTATGGTAATCTTAGCTGTCAAATAATGGGCGGTCTCTTCAAGACTGCCACATTACTTGAGCAGCGCACGAATCTGGGCGAGCCGATTTGCTTCGCCTGGAGATATGGCAATGTCGCTTCGATCGGCGAGCGTAATTAACGCGCGCACGATACGATCTGTCTCGACTGCCACAACCGCATATCCACCTCACGCGCCGCAAGCGGGCGAATGGGATTAGTGGAAGCGTGGGCACGAGAATCGGGGGAGCGAGATAGCGAGAAACGAGGGAGCAAGATAGTGGGCGCGAGAAACGAGGAGCCGGGCACAACGATGGCAAGGGTATAAAAACACCGAGGAAAGGATTTGCTCCCTTCCTTTCGCCATTATTCCCCTTGCCTTCGCCGCTTGAGCCCTAACTCTTTCTCTGCTGCGCCTTACCTTCGCCACACACACTCGCTCTCAATCATCTCTTCCTCTGGCGCCATGGCACGGGGCTCCGCTCTTCTTGACGGTAGCGTACTTCCGCCTTCCCGCATCGTGAGCGAGAGGCATGCCGGGCTGCCGCGCCGCTTCATGCCGGAATCTGCCACCGGCCGGGAGATAGTGATGCTGGGCGAGGGACGCCCGGCACCAGACTACCCGGGGCGGTTTGTCTTCTTCCTCCCCTTCGCAATGGCGGGGCTGGTTCCGCCATTTTCTTCTTTTTTCATGGACATTCTGGAGTTCTACGATCTCCAGATGGCGCACCTCACCCCCAATGCTGTGATGACATTGGCCATCTTCGCGCACCTGTGCGAGATGTTCATTGGGGTGCGCCCATCTCTCCAACTGTTCCGGTGGTTCTTCACCGTGCAGTCGGTGTCGCCGCCGTCGGTGGTTGGTGGCTGCTACTTCCAGCCGCGGGGGCCGGTGTTGAACCGCTACATCCCCTGCGCCCTCCGCAAGAAGTGGGACGACTGGAAGAGCGACTGGTTCTACACCCCCCTCGCCAACGAAGCGCGCCTCCGACTTCCAAGTCAGCCCCCGGCGCAGGTCTCCAGCTGGCGGGCGCCGGTAGATCTGGGGGATGACTATGACGCCGTCCTCGACCGCCTGGCGGGCCTGCGATCCCAGGGGCTCACCGGGGCCATGGTGTACGGCGACTACCTCCGTCGTCGGATTGCGCCGCTCCAGCGGCGCGCTCGGGCCGCCTGGGAGTACACCGGGTCCGAAGACTACATGCGGACCCACCAGGGAGTCAGATGGGATTGGGCCCCCGAGAACTTCAAGATACTAGTCCAACGGGTTCTAAATCTCAACTCCGTGGAGGCGTCCCTCATCCCCCACGGTATCCTCCCCCTCTGCAGCGACCCAGATCGCGCCTCCATCTTGACCATTATGACGGCGGTCGGGGCCTCAGAGGAGCAGGCTCCTAAGGGCCATGACGGCGCAGGTGGGAGCCGCCGGGGGGATCAATCTACCCCCGGAGGGGGTCGTGCTTCTGGGCCCCGCGTCGGGGGCTCGGGGAGCAGCCGCCCTACCGACGCCCGGGGGAAGAGGAAACTGGGAGGAACACCTCCCCCATCTCCTCCCCGAGGGGGCGGGGCGGTGCGTGCCAGCAGCAGGCGCCCGGAGGGGGCCACGCCAACATCGCAGCCCGAGGGGGAGCGCAAGAAGAAGCGGCTGCGCAAGATGGGGGAGACAGAACCATCCCGGGGAAACCTAATTTCCCCTCCAAGGTGGTCATTTAACCGACCCCCTCGCAGGTTCGTCCCACGCTCATTGCGACCGTCTTTTCTTCTATCCCAAAAGCAAGTTTTCTCTTACCCATCTTGTTTGCCTTCTGGTTTTTCTTTCTGCTTCAGTGATATCCCATCGCGTTCCTCCCACCATCCCAAGTCCGGCCAGTCCGAGGCCAAAGATCCGGCGGCCGCAGAGGAACGGAGGCGAGAATCTGACCGGCGAGAGGCCGCAGATCGCCTTCGGGAAGCTGAAGAGGCCGCCCGGGAGGCCGCTCGGGCTCGCCATGCAGAGGATACCGCTCGGGAGGAGGCCGCCCGGGCTCGCCAAGCCGAAGAAGCTGCTAAGGAGGAGGCCGCCCAGGCTCGTCGGGCTGAGGCGATGGCGTCTTCCGAGGCAGCTCACGACACAGCTGCTGGCGCGTCGCTTGGGCCTACTCCCTCGGGCAACGCTCAGGCGACAGCCTCCGGGGTGGCTCGCGACGAGGCCGCGGGCGGATCGC